CTTTTTTATCTAAAAAATAAATCTCTTTATGTTTCAAAGTGTTGTGCTACCCCCCCAGTCTTAAGGGCTGCTCAGTATTTTTGGGTTCCCTGTCTGTCTTGAGCCTGCTTTGAAAACTCAGCCCCAGCTGCCACCACCGTAAAGCTTTGACCAGGAGGACTCCCTGGCTTGGAACCATAAATAAACACACACAGTTTAGGATGAACAAGTATTCTGATTATAATGAGGTCAGAATAATAAGTGTGCAAGCACAAAAAAAAAAAGATGAGCATGAAATGCTCTAGAAGGTTCAACAAAGTATTAAAACACAGTATCACTTTAAGCAACTCCAAATTGTCCTGCAGGATCAGAATTTGAGATCAGTCCCAGCTTTTGAGATATCTCTACCCAAGTGAGTTGGACAGAATGATCAAACTGTTCGACTACCTCACTTTTGGACTCTCAGTTACTGATGACTGGGTTTAACTCTGGAGGCTAAGACCTTAGTGAAAATCAATAATGTCCCCTTTTGGCAGCTCTTTTTTAGAAAAAGTGTCCAATCTTCTGCACGCTCAAAGAGGCTCTAGTTGGTATACAGTACATTAACATTTAGAGTCCTTTTATTTTCCTTGTGTGAAATCAAGTTTCCCTCAAGATGGCGTTGTCTCAGAAAAGCAAAACTCTTTGAAGTGATGTTGAATTTAAGTGACATCTCTTTAATACAAAAGGTGAAGGCAAAGATTTACTAAGATTGTAAAAAGGGTGGAAGCAGACTTTAGCAGAGGTGAACTCCTCCTCTAAGGTGGTAAGCCAGTCTGAAGAAGCAAGTTTCTTGAGCTTTATAAGAAACTTGAAAGAAGACACTAAAGTTATTCTGTATACAGGGTGCCTACACTGTAGAAAAGTCCTCGGGCTTAGGATGCTAATAAAGCACTAATCAGTAGGCCGCAATAAACTGAATAGTCTGGGACTCAGTATAATAAGCTGTAATGTGAGGTGTACTGAACTGAAAGAAACAACTGAACCTAACACAGTCAATTGCAAGTTATGATGATCTGGGTATGGAACCCTCTCAACTGGTCCGTAACCTCAGTAGCGTAGCAGGTAGTCTCTCAGTTAAGGGGGCCCCTGTGTTCTTTTGGTCCCTCTGTTAAGGAGCGATACCGATGGTAATACCACAATCCTCCAGCCTGCAGGATTGCCTGTCCTGCTTGTCAGTGATACCAGTGGTCTGCGATCCCTCTCCACTTCTTCTTTCTGCAGCCTGGCCCAGTCTGGATCTCCAATGTCCTGCACAGCTTTCTGCACACACCCGTTCTCTGTCCCTCACCATCCACTTCCTTCCTGTAAGGTACCCGGGCTTTGAATATATATATATATATATATATATATATATATATATATATATATATATATATATATGTGTACACTCCCGCCCCTTTGCCAGCTCTTCTGGGACATGTAGTCTGTTTACTCCTTGTCTGAGCACAAAGATCCTACTACCAGCATACAAAATTAACAAGGCTTTTCTTCAACAGTCTGCATAACTGAACCGCAGAACTCTTCATCTTGTGTTCACTTAACATCCTGCAACCAGTATTCATGCGGGGTGTTACAGAAGGTTTGTATGGTTGAATCTCCTGATGCTGTTTTGCAGCATTGAGGTTTTTTTTCTAAAAAATATGTATATGTTATATATTATTATATTATTATTTTCTTTTTCAACATTTGGAATCCTCTCTTCTAGTCCATTATTGGTGGTCATCCACAGATGCAAATACATGATACTCCTTTTCAGTGTTGCCACATTTAGTGGAGTGCTATTTGTTTCTGAATAAAACAGGGTTTTTTTTTCAAAATTCCAGTCCTCTAAGGCCAGCCTTTAAAGTCTAAGTTCACCTTTTTTTTCTTCTTAACAGCTCCCCTATGTACACACATGCATTAGCATGCTTTCCCCAGCGTCCCTTCAGATGGGCTCAGACTGCATGCTAAACTCCGTGGGGCCGCATGCAGCCCACGTGACACCGCTGATGTAGTACAAATTCCTGCTTGATTGGATACAGAGTGATTGCATAGATGGTGTGCCCTCCTATTATATAGTTTTGGTAAATCTAAAGAAGATTGTACAGTCAGATTGTAAAGTGTATACCCACCTTTATACACCTAAAATTACGTAGTTGTGCTTTCAGTCTCATTAATTATTAATGGCATGAAGAATACATGAAGGTAAAAAATTTGAGCCTTTACAACTACTTTATTATTTCTCATAAAGGTTTGGTGCTAGTGGTACAACCCAAGATTTTGGGACCATTTATTTTTCATTTTTTTAGTTTTAAACTGTTTAAAAAAGGAAGTGAAGTTTTGGATTGAAGTGTATGAATAGCCAAAACTTTGTTTTTGGATTACTTTTTCATGTAGATGGATTAGGACACCTACCAAATTTTCATTTCTGTCTGTGTCCCTGCTGGGAAGATTCACCCTCTCTATTTGTCCTGATGAGCATAGTCAAAGAGATAGAATGTAATAGGAAATCTCAGATTTTACAGTTGTCACCAGAGCAAGAAATGGAGATAAATCTCACTGTAGGGACACCAGTTCCTGTAGCAAGTTAGAGGTAATTACTGCTCACTTTTGAGAGATTTCCTCTCACTTCCTTTTGCATCTTCAGGGCAGGAAATGAAGGTGAATCTCTCTAAGACAAAGAAACAATTAACTGACAGTTATTTTAACACTTCCAAACTCTATGCAAAACATTTACTTTATACATACCATTTCTTGCAAGATGTATCTTATTTAGAAGGCGACCTGAATTGGGCAAATACATAGCAAATGAGGTTTATTTTTGATAAAAATAAATATACTGTGTACTCTTGGGGGCTAAAACATGCATGATTTATATAATCTAGTGAGAGCAAAACTAGATGAATCAGTGTTGAAGAAGGTGTCCTGGCAGATCAAAGGCTTAATAGTCTTTGATCTAGAAGCTGCTAATCTGCAACTTCTAGAGTGGACAAGATACAATCTTCTATTAAAACAGTCGTGGGGTTGATTTACTACAGGAAAATAGGCTGTTCTTTTTGCAAAGGAATTTTCAGTTTGTAAGGGAATTTTCCCTTTGCTTAGTGAGTGTTGTGAAAATTCACTTTGCAACAAGTACCCAAGCACGGATAATAATACAAAAAAAAAAAACCTGTATTTTTGCTTTTGCATGAATGATGGAACTTCATAGAGCTTCAATATATTTAAGCTAAATAAAAATTCCCCTGCAACGTGAATAGCCTATTTGGCTTTAGCAAATCAACTCCCATGGACTCAACAGAGAGAGGATTGTGTACCTGTAGAAAGCATTAGTAAGACATGGAGATGCGCTGTGCATATAGCACAGATTTTCGCAACATATTTATTGATGACAATAGAAAAATATTTCAGAATGATTTCCACAAAAAAAATTAGATGTATTTAATTTTGTTAAAAAATACACTAAACTCTAGTAATAATATCCACAGACTGTAGGTTAAACACTGTTCCTGGTTGCTACAGCTGATTCCTCATGTGCATACTGCTCTCTTAAAATGTATGTATTGCCCATTTTTGATTTGGATAGAGTAGGGAAGGGATAAAACCCCTTTCTAGCTTTTTTGCTGTTTGTGTGTTGGTGTGGAGATTTATAACTACTGTTAGAAATGCAACATGAAATGAGAGGAAATCTTGTCTGAGACAGTTGGCAGTAGAACATTTGTCCCCATTGGAAAATTTCCCCTTACCTCTCGCTCTTATGACAGCTATAAAATGAGGATTCCCCATTTACTTTCTGTCACAGTTACAATGGCCCCCAGAACAAGTAGAAGAGCAAATATCCACAGTGGGGACACAGACCACAATAAAGAAGAGCAGAGGATCCTTCCCCACATCTTTCTAAAACAAAAAAAGTTAAGCCTTTAAATACACTTTAACTGCTTCCCATCTGGCCAATATATGAAAACGGCTATATGGGAGAGGGCACATATATTCAACCTCTTGCATCCGCTGCTCATGCATGGCTTCTGAGCTACTTCAAGCCTCAGACACAGTGGATCACAGATTGGAATACAGTGCCAGTGAAATTGGCTCTGTTCCATGTGATCAGTGTGACCAATCACAGCAATCATACTTGTAAACAAAGGCTGCAGGACTGTGTTAAGCACTTAGAGTGTAAAAGAATGACCACAGCCCACTGTTTTGATATCACTGTAAATAATTGCAGCCAGCCATTGTCTCTGATAACTGCCACAACACTACAATGTCACCACAGTGACACTGCAATTGCTCTGGTGACAGTATGTAAAAAAACAAAAAACAAAACAAAAAATATATTCTTTTACATACTGTCACCAATCAAGTGCAGTATACAGTGACAGTGTACTGCTGTGGCAATGCTAATGTACAATGGCTGGCTGCTCTGATATCACTGTATATCTGTGCAGCCAGCCATTGTCTCTGATGACTGCCACACCAGTCCCAGTGTCACGACTGGCAAGCCCACTATGCCCACCAAAAGTGACAGAGGGTGTTGTTTTTTGCCATGGCTGTGAAGCCAAGCATCCCAATAGTGGCATTTGTACACCCCCAGCCACTGCAGATAAAAGTGATAAGGGGTGGTAACTATTGTTCAACTGCAAGGATTTACCTCCCTCCCACCTCACATGTGAACAAGCCCGAATAGTGCAGCCAATCACAGTGTCTCCAATCACCACTTCACCAGCCACAGTGTCCAAAAATGTGGTAGGTAGTTAGAAAGTTAGATGCATAATTTATGCCTCTAGAAAACCTGAAGGTGCTCCTTGGATTTTGGGTCTCTCTTTATAACTAGGCTGTGAAATACATGTGGTATCCTCATATTGGGGATGAGTGCTAGAAAGTATTTTGATGTGTAATTCTAAGGATGGCAGTACATAATACAAATTTCTTGCATAATTTTCTTTTAGATTTACCAAAACCATATAATATGAGGTTAAACCTTAACACTTTCAAGTTGTATGCAATCAGACTGGCCCTTGCACTACATAGTTGAAGGAAAATCTAAAGGAAATCAAATAAGAAAATTGTATAACGTATGGCAAGCTTTAGTATGCCTATGCTGTATGTTAGAAATATCTTCCTAATTGACAACTTTGTGTAACAGAATGCATATTCATTTTTTTCTTGCATTTTCCAAAAACTTGTTGCAAAAAAATGACCCTTTCAAAAGATTCACTATACCTTTTTAGAAAATACCTTTGGGTGTTTTGTTCTAAAATGTGGTCAGTTTGTCAGTGTTTCTCCTGTCTTGGGACCTCAGGAACTCAAGAAATATGATAAGTAGTCAGGAAATTAAATGTATAATTTATGCTTCTTTAAAGCCAAAAGGTGCTATGGAGACTTGGAATCTTGCTAGTATAAAAAATGCATATATTATAGCATTGAGTGACTCACTGAATCATTTGTTTTATACTACTGATGAGGACCAAAAGACCGTAAAGTTTACGGAATGTGTTGACTCCTGTTTTAAGAAGTCCTACTGTACTTGCGGTTCTTAAAAAAAAAAAAGGGGGGGGGCTTCTCCGTTCCTACTGGCTTGCCTCATGTTAAGCTAACTATCTTAAACTGATACTAAAGGTGCAGATTTTTTGAAAAAAATAATAAACATACTTACCTGCTCTGTGTAATGGTTTAGCACAGAGCAGCCCTGATCCTCCTCTTCTCGGATCCTCCTCTGGCACTCCTAGCTAGCTCCTTGCCCCTGCTGAGTGCCAGAGCAAGCTGTTTGCTCTAGGGGCACTCATGCTTGCTTTCTCCCAAACCGCCTCTGTGTGTCTATAAGAGCTGGAGGCCCCACCCCCTGCTTCCTTCTCATTGGCTTTGATTGGAAAATGGCTCCTGCTGCTGTGTCTTAGCCAATGAAGAGGGAGAGACTCGGGAGAGTCGATGCTCTTTTGCACATTGTTGAATCGAGACCAAGGATCAGGTAAGTATTGGGGGGCTGAGGGGGGAGCTGCACATTGAAGGTTTTCTACCTTCATGCATAGAATGCATGAAGGTAAAAAACCTTCAACCTTTAGAATCACTTTAAGCTGGCCATATATGGTTAATTTTTTTCTTTAAGCCATTAGGCTGAACAAAAAAACCGAACCAATCCCCTATCCACACATTCAAGGTGGATGGGGGGATCCTCTCTGCTGTGCTACCGTATTCTGATAGTGAGGAGACTCTCCCACCATCAGAATACACAGATCAGCGCTGCAGCCATGTATGAATCAGCTCTTATATTACATTGTGGGTGCCAGCGTTCCTTTAATACATTAATTCCTGAAGCCTGAAAATCTTTCTTTCCAGCACACACAAAACACATTTATAATGACATTTAAAGTCTCATAATTTATTTATACCAAAAAATGTATGCAGAGGGCATTTATCAAGATAATGACACCAATAATAAAACCTGTACACACTTTTCTGATGTAACCATATAATGCATAATATAACAACACTATAGTCTTTTTGGGACAGGGGTCCACCATTTTGTGGTGTAAATCTGCATTCTCAGGACCAGGGGCAGACTGACAACTCATAAGGCCCCCCAGGCAATAAGAGATAATGGGGCCCCCTGTGTCCCTGCCTGCACTCAAGCCACACCCACACAATGCCCCACCTACATATTGCAGCCCAGCTGCATAGAAGGGGCATTTAAATATTTACTGCAGCAAAGACTGAATGAATGTTCACACCTTCTTTCTGTAGAAACCACTGGGCACTTCCAGATGTAAAGATGGCTGCCATGTGAGGGAAGAGAGAGGGGAGAGAGAGAGGGGGGGGGGGGGGTGAGAGAGAGAGAGGGGTGAGAGAGAGAGAGGAAGGGGTGAGGGAGGAGGGGGTGGGGGGATGTGAGAGAAGAGCGGTATGTTTTAAATTGCACAAAAAATGGGAGTGGCTTGAAAGGGGTGTGGTTAACTAGTGTCTGAGATGACTTACATTGCGGAGTGTATGACAGTGAGAAGGATGTACATGAGAGGAGTGTGAAGGGTATAGCGGTGGATAGTATGTGCAGGATGGTGTCAGTAGGGCAGTGGATGGTGTCAGTAGTTTTTTATTTTTTTTTATTATTGTTATATTTGTTTTACAATTTTATGATAACATGATACATGTCATCCATGGGTGCAGGGTGTGTGCAGTGAACACCCTGCACCCATTGATGATATGCCACTGTCTCTCACCTTCCCACTGCCCACTGGCTCCATCACAGCAGTGTGATGGCACTACCACTGCCTGGGACCCCGACTCACTCTGCCACCATGTGAAGTGAAAGGTGAGCTAGTTCCAGGTCGGAATCTGAGACTGCCTCCTCCTCTTCTCCCCTCACTGTCACCAGACACTTCTCACAGTGCCCCCTACTGACCCAAGGCCCTCAGACAATGCCTAAATGCCCAAATTGTCAGTCTGCCCCTGCTCAGGACCCAGTATATATTGGATGTAGTTTAGCTTTGTATTGAATATTTTCTTGGTAGGTGGTCACAGGAATTTTCTCTAATGTCAGGAACAAACCACACTTGTATAACACATAGATATTTACATTGTATAAAAATTGCAATCAAATACATCATGTCTAGCATTATCACCATGGTAATCAATATGTGCAATATTAGTTACTTACACATAATGCTTAATATAAAGACAACAGATGGGTATGTGTCCAAATAGCACCAGATATGGTATTGCTCCCGAATGGGACCAGGTGCCCTCAGGCTAGATCGCTTCTATCTGCGAAAAGGCACAAAGAGGAAGGACCCATAGGTTAATGCCCATGTGCTCTACAAGGACCGCTGGAGGGGGAGAGTAAGGCAGTATAGAAATTGAGTACTAGTAGTAGATAGTTAGTGCAACAATAGCTGTGTACTTGTAGGCTCCTGGACAAAAACGGCCATGGTGTTGTTGTATTATGTATTATATGTTGTATTATATGTTGGTTGATTAATTAGAAAAGTGTGCACAGGTTTTACCTTGGGAGGGAATTCTTTGATGGATGCCCTCTGTATACATTTTATGGTATGCATATATTATGAGATTTTAAAGGGATCATTTAAATGTTGTTACAAATGAGTTTATGTGTACTGAAAAGAAAGTTAAATTTTTTTAAGCTCCTGAACTCACTATCCTAAATGATGTAAAATGTAAATAGCCTCTGGTTTAAAAAGCATACAGTGCTTTGCAGTATTTTGGAGGCAATGCTTTTCTAAATAGAAATAAATATTTTCTATTTTAAAAAGCATACTGTATTTTACAGTACTTTAGAGACAAAACCTTTTGGTTACCTTTGGCTCACCACACCAGCTGACCATGACTTTTTAAAATAAATGTACAAGCTAGTTGAATGGTGGTCTTCCTAATCTAATGAAATTTCTACTTTTATTACTATCCCCCACCCCTGTTATTTGCTAGGAAAAATCGACTTTAAAAGAAAATGATCAAACTATAGTTGCGTCCTGGAAACAAAAATACTCCCCCCCCTCAAGTTAAAACAGTGCTCCTAAATGCCTTAAATATCCATATGCTATTTGAACTTATGTCCACCATACAAATGGCAAGTTGGGCACCTTCTGGAAACAATAGGGTGGCTGGATGATGTACCATAGCTGCATAACTTAAATCTGTTGAACATTTTTAATACCTGCTAGGGCACCCCTCTATCTTATATTCTACAATTTCCATTGCATATCTGTTAAATTCAGTATGATAATTTTGTGGGTATCAGGAGGCACTCTACAACATCAAATACAGATGGAGTTAACACTTATTCTATTGTATATCCTTGTACTATAAATGTGCTTTTCATGCAATAGGTCCCTTCCCTCCTTTTTAATGTTGAACTGAGCCACATATTGTTTTCTACTGTTACACCTGTATTTAGTTATTGGTAACAACCACTCTGCATGTGACATATTGCATTTTAAATGGCTTCTCTTTCTGTAGTGTTTCATATGTCTCAATGTGAAACCTTAAGAAAACATCAAGCTAAAAAAAGAAAAAAAAATTTCATTGGTAGGTTTTAGCTTTTTGAAAAAAGGCTGTTAAAGCCTACAGCTAGAATGTTTAGCATTTTATTCTGTATGTCAGGCAAAGACCCTATGTATGGACAGTGACAGTTAGATAAGCAAATACTTGGCTATTAAGCCTGTGGTCTTCCTTATCTACCTGGATTTCAACTTTAATCATTTCCCCACCCCTGTTATGTGCTAGGAAGAATCTCCTTTAAAAAGAAAATTATCTTTGGTAGGTTTTAACCTATTGAAAAGGCCATCATGCCTACAGCTAGAAAGTTTAGCAGTTATTCTGTTTGTCAGGCAAAAAAAAACCTTCATAAAGACAGTGACAAGTTAGATAAGAAATATATCTTCCATGTAAGAACGGAAAAACCTAATTTTACTCATATATCATAGTCATTTTTACATGGCTGAAGGCTTTAAATTCTACGTTTATTCCACTATCCTTTAACTTCCCTTAAATATACTGTCAGAAAACAAGACATTCACCTTATATATCAATATCTGTTCTACAGAATGTCATTGCCTACATTTTTTACATGTTTGGTTTATATACACCACCAGCTTGTATGCATTCATTTGATATATATAAGTACAATTTATTGTTCCATTTGGACATTCATTTGCTTCTGTATGATTTTGTAACAATATCATAATAACATTCAAAATATTTTCCCTACAGAACTTTGTAGCCACCCAGTAAAATTTTTTTTTAAATATTTATTTTTATATTTCGGGCACAATATTATGTTACACAAACAGTACTTAGTATGCACCTTGCAGCATACAGCTAGTTTTTCTAAAATGCAATCAACTGAAAAATTATTGAGGCCCTAACCAGTAAGTAAAATTGCACTAATACTACACCTCATTTCACCCTTGCTTTTCTATAGTGTTCTGGAACCCTTTATGGACAACCAGTAGGGCACCACAATATATTTTCAGGGTTTCACAATCCCAAGGCACTCTAGAAGAATACAGGTGGATGTGTAGAGTATTTTTGCAAATTTTGTGTTTTTTCAAATTTAGTTACTTTTAAAGTAGAACTAAAGGCGATTTTTTGTCCCAAGTTGGATAAAGTAAGGGAGGGTATAAATACTACAGTGGCAGAATTTTTTTTGTTTCTTCCATGTTTCTTGATATTAAGGACATTTTTTTAAAATTTGTGTATATCAATGCATTTTTGCATTAATGTTTATTGAGTTTTATAGATGCAATTTATTCTTCAGAGTGGGCAATCATTTATATATGCCCTGGCAAGGATCCTGAAAAAATGCCACACACTGGTATACAATGACATCATCTATGATGGTTCTCACAGAATAATAATTCATTGTCACACTTCATACATGTGGATTGTATTTTTTAACTTTTGTAATACATTGTTATTGAATTGTTATGTGGTTTTTGCCTCTATGAGGCACAAATTTTTTTTAGCATTTTTTGTAGCTTCTTTCCACCTATATAATTGGTGGACTGAGAGGTATGTGATTTTGTTCATAATAGGGATGGTACCTGTGACGGGCGCGGTGTCGGACCCCAGCCCTTCTCACCAACTTGTGACCGAAGGACTAGCCAATCTAAAACCGTGCTGCCACTTGCGTAACAATGCCACTCTCAGCTGCACCCTGCACAAAGCTCACTGGACCCCAATCTAGGTGCCAACAGCCTGAAAGCGATTGTTACTGGGTCAGGTTAATTATGCAATTAACCCTTCACACTGCCACCACCACCTTTTTTCAGAGAAGGAGGAAACTCACAAATCTTAGCAGTAACACTATGATGTTATAAATAAGCGTCTGTATACACACTGTCACCACAGAGAGATGTATCCAGAGGTTTTAAAACACACAGTGGCACTCTTCAGAGACAGGGATTCTTAGTTTGCATTAAAGAACTTTAGAAATAGTTCAACACTTTTCAGAAAATAGGATATATTACTAAAAAGGTCAAAATGGTGCAATGAAAATATTTACAGAAAAGATGTAACCAATATATACATATAAATAGAGAGAGCAATAACACAACAGAGAGATAAAAGAAAGAAGTTTAAGAAGGTAGGATACTGCAGAAGTCCTGTGTTTAAGCAGCGTTCAAGTGTCCTGAACAAAAGGGTTCCTTTTCTCCCAAAGTTGGCTCCTGATGTTAAAAGGGAGAATCTCTTCATCTCTCTCCAGGCACGACAGCCTCTTTTCTAGGAATCCAGCAGGGTGTCTCCTTAAAGCAGAGAACCAATCGCCTCATTTGGGGAGGGGTGTTTAGGCGGGGACTATATACCCAAATCCCTCACAAGTTTATACCATGGCCAATAACCTTCACTAGGTATATGTAGCAGCCTAGCCACTGGTAGATTAATATGCAGAATGATATCCTGAACGTCCAGACATCAAATATGACATATCTTACTGTTCCAGATAAAGACATATTGATTTCTACTCTCGTGTAGGTGCCACATAAGGGTGTAAGGTATCAGGTGACTCTTATTAAACTGACCTATCTGAATATATGCTTTTTTTTTTATTGTACCTTGTTCCTGGCGGGATTTATGAATTTGTATGGAAAAGCGGTTTCAAGTGGGATGTATGTTTTACTGCCATTCTGGAATGCTTTTCATGTCCAGTGATGGACTGATTTATATCTGTACGACCAGGCCAAGGCAAGAGTCTGACAGACTTCATGGAACCAGCTAATTGGGTTTACAACCATGAAGCATATCCAGCTGTGTCGTGTACACTCCTGAACTTAGCACACACACAGACCACATTCCTTGCAAGGGGAGGGGGCTGGAGGGAGAGAAAATGATATTTGTATGATACAAGATGGTAGATCTTTAACAAAATGGTTGTTGGTGTCCAATCTGTGCGCACAATTATCACAGTACCTATAGAGGATATTTTACATATAACATTAAGCCACCTTTTCTTGACATAGTTATACATCTAGACATGCTCTAGAAAGAGCTGGAAAATCCAGGAGACCTTGGATTTTAAATTGAAAGATCAGTTAATATTGGAACACAAAGCTGTTACATTATTTATGGGTGCAGGGACTTAGACGTGTGCTTTTGGAGCTCTTGTCAGTGCAGTGGATTGAAACTTCTATAGAATAGGGAATAGAATTGAGGAATGACTATGACCACTATCAGAAAATAAAGAATAAACCTTCAAGTTTGGGATTTGTGATGGAAGTGAGACAAGCAGACACCTTCTATTTTAAGAAGTGTGTGGGCAGAGCCTACAACACCTGTGCACTAGGGGTTCATTTGCCCAAGGATGCACCCGCCAATGCCTGGGACTAGGCAGAAACTGCAATCGTGTACAGACTAACATTAGGTTGAGGTGAACTTCCACAGCGTATATTAATAAAGCAAAGTTGTGTTTTAGGTGATGTCCCATTGCTCTATGCACTGTGAATTCTACTTGTTGCATTGAAAATGATGGAGCCTCCACTAGCCAGCATACATCTGTAATCTCACTCCCAGTAACAGAATGAGATCCCGCAAGACACATAAGGAGGATGTTATGTATGTCCCTTGTTAACTCTTTTGCTCCCATATCATTTGGTTAGGCTGTGGGCCTCTGTAACACTGGTCTGCTCAAGGTTGCTATAGGAGATGGACAGCTAAGGAGGGAGCCCAAGGCAGTGACTACCTGCTACCAGAGGACACCTCACCTTACCCAGGTACCATGCCTTGCCTGGTCGCAATGTGTCATGCATATGTACTTGGTAACATATGCATGACACATGCATATGTACCTTGTTTTCCTCTTCTTACATGCTGACTTGACACTGTAGTGTAGTGCTTTCTAGGTCCAGGTTCTTTTGGATACGCCAGCCCCATTGTGCACCTTTTGAATAACTTCAAACCAGGCTCAAGAGAACTTTTGATAGTCTTTACTGATCAACTGTAATGCAACCATGATAAAAGTGCAAACAGTTCATTTTTTCCTAACCCTGACTAACTGATACATGGCCCAGGCATAACTTTTAGGCGTTCATAGTGGCAGAGACTATAGTTGGCGGCTTCCTGGGATACTCGGTATAGAAGATAGTAAAGAGGCTCTCTCCTTGTCCTGGGATGTAATGAGAACAGCAGCAGAACACCACAGTGCATGGGAGACCAATTTATACCACAGGTGGGCTGGCAGAAAGCCCCAGAATGCCCACTCACTGGGAGCAGTGAACTTAACCCTTTTCCAATGCAGCCTGGCCTAGTACCTAACTTATTAGGCAGTCCCCAACCTGCTTACAAGTGTCTGCTGCACTTGAAACAAGAAAAAAAACTTGTTGCATTACATAATTCAAACTGGCATATACTGTTTTAAAATGTTCATGCAGTCCCACAGGTTTAGTGGAGGGCATTATGGTTCCTTTCTGCAGCCCTCTTCACCATAACAGTTTTATGAAAATGCTAATAAGTACTTCTGCCTTGATTCTGGGATTTTTTTTTCTGGGATTTATAGTATATTTTAACACTTTTCCAAATTTCCATGAAACACTTAAAAAAAGAAGTTTTATAGTATATAGTAAAATGCCTTAATGCTAAGACTGGCCTATACTGAAGAAATGTTAAATTGTGTATATTACAAATCTTGGTAAGCCTCTTAATGCAGCAGCAATGCATGATCTTAACCACTGTATCATTCTTTTTTGTGATGTTTGTGTGTCAGCTTTTTATCTGTATTTGTAATCAATAAAATCATAGATTGTTTTCATTCTTATGTTTGGAACCTAGATTACAAAGCCATGCAGCTCATTTGTTGATATTCCTTCATGTAGTGCAAGATAAAATGTAGTTTGTCATCTTACAGACAGATCGATTTCTAAAGAGGCGCCAAAATGACTTGGTGACCTTTTTTCTTGTCGGTTTCTAATAGCTTCATGTGCCATCAATTAAGGCTAGTGACAGTCTCTTGAAAAGATGTCCTCCTGAATAAAGCCTCTATGTCTTTGATATGCTTCAACATTTCCTCTGGCTTCTTCCATATCACTTGCAGTGTACACAGATTTCCATATGCATTAATCACAATGAGGCACATATTATGTAGTCAGTAAAACCTGAGAAGTGCTTATATTACAGTAGAAATTCCATTACAAGGAAAACCAATGCTTGATAACAAGCTGAAATGCATGGGAATTTATACTGAGGAAATATAGAGATTAACATTGCTGACCTCTCCTTCTAGAAATGTTAGTTGCCTGTCTTCTTATACTGAATCAGTGGTTTTAGTGACTTTGGAGTAACTGACCCAAAACTGATATGCGAATCAGGAGCTTAGACTTCACTCTGATTTTCCTAGTCTGCATGCCATCTAGGCTGATAGAGTTCATAGATTGACGTCAGCAGCATAAGCCTTTATGTTTTTCTCAGTGCTGTACAGGTTTCCCTTAACCACTTTCGGTCTGGCCCATGTACAGAAACGGCTGGACGTGAGCAGTGCAGAAGCGGGTTGCCGTTCATAAATGTCGCCCGCATTTACAGCCTGTGCGCCCTTACTGGGAGTGCATGGAATCGATTGCTGTACGGGACCTCTGTGTGAGGTCCGATCATGTGATCACTGATTGGCCAATCAGTGATCACATGAATAGTAGTAAGCAAGATGTCACTTGCTGACATCACTGCTTACTACTAGTGAAATCTGTGAATGATCACAGAGGTCACATGGTACAAGGCTATTCACAACAGCCTTGTACCATGTGACAAGCCATGACCAATCACAGCTCTCAGAGCATTTCTCAATGGCTGCAGGAATGCAGCCAGAGAGGAGAAATACAGTAATTGCTGTGTAAACGTAATCAGTGTAAAAAAAAAAAATCTTCATAACCCCCCACAAGTAGTACAGTGTCACTATGGTGACACTGTACTGCTTTGGTGACAGTATGTTAAAAAAAAAAACATAAATAATAATATAAAAAATTAAAATAAAATTGCAAAAAACATTTTTGAAAACTTATATATTTTGGTTATAAACTAATCTGGGTTATTTTTTTTTAACTAAAAAGGTAACTGAATACATTTTTGGCCAAGATTTATGAAGAAAGATTATTTATTTGCAAAATTTTTTAAGAAAAACACTTTTTTTTCAAAATGTTTGGACTTTTTCATTTATATAGCAAAAAAAAAATAAAAACCCCAGTGGTGAAGAAATACCACCAAAATAAAGTTTTATCTGTCTCAAAAAATACTAAAAAATTCATATGGGTACATTGTTGCATGACCGCGCAATTGTCATTCAAAGTGTGATAGCAGTGAAAGCTAAAAAATTGGCCTGAACAGGAAGGGGGTGAAAGTGTCTGAACTTGAAGTGGTTAAAGTGATCATTGAGAATTTTACAGAAGGATACTGAGAGTGAATACATCTCATACTAAGTAATATGTATTCATTAGGAGAGAGTACTGGCTATGAAAATGTACCAACAGTTCGCAAAACTAAAGTGCTAGCAATGGAAAGTAGCTTTCATTGAATATTATGTATATTTTTTATTGTTAAAACAAAGACAAAGATTTGCTACAGGAATATACACTCACTGGTCTCTTTATTAGGTACACCTGTTCAATTGATTGGTAACACAAATTACTAATCAGCCAATCACATGGCAGCAACACAATGCATTTAGATATCTAGACGTGGTAAAGACAACTTGCTGAAGTTCAGACCGAGCATCAGAATGGGAAAGAAAAGGGATTTAACCACTTCCCTTCCGACCTTTATGGGTGTAAAAGCAATCAGTGTAAGAAAAAAAAAAAAAAATCTTCATAACCTACCACAAGAAGTACAGTGTCACCATGGTGACACTGTACTGCTAGGGTGACAGTATGTTAAAAAAAAACCCCAAAAAAAACATAAATAATTATATAAAAAAATAAAATAAAAAAAATGAAAAAACATTTTTTTTTAAAAATTATAATTTTTGGTTATAAACTAATTTGGGTAATTTTTTTTTACTAAAAAGATAACTGAATAAATTTTGGCCAAGATTTATGAGCATCGGAATGGGAAAGAAAGGGGATTTAACCACTTCCCTTCCGGCCGTTGTATATAAACGGCTGGATGGTAGTAGTGCAGGGGCAGGTGGCCATTTATAAACAGCCTCCCCACCCCCTGCTTGTGCGCTTCCTGGGAGCGTGCAGTACAGAGATCCGGTGCCCGCTGTGTCCTCCAGACACAGTTGAACACCGATCGTTGTACGGGACCTCTGTGGGAGGTCCCGATCATGTGATCACTGATTGGCCAATCAGTGATCACATGAAGAGTAATAAGCAAGATGTCACTTCTGACATCATTGCTTATTACTTGTGAAATCTGTGAATGATCACAGAGGTCGCATGGTACAAGGCTATTCACTACAGCCTTGTACCATGTGACAAGCTGTGACCAATCACAGCTCACACTGTATTTCTCAATGGCTTTAAGAATGCAGCCAGAGAGAAGGAGAAATGATTGCTTTTACAGCCTTTATGGGTGTAAAAGCAATCAGTGTAAAAAAAAAAAAAAATCGTCATAACCACCCACAAGTAGTACAGTGTCACCATGGTGACACTGTACTGCTAGGGTGACAGTATGTTAAAAACAAAAAACATAAATCATTTTATAAAAAAATAAAATAAAAATGAAAAAACATTTTTTATTATATTTTTTGGTTATAAACTAATTTGGGTTATTTTTTTTTACTAAAAAGATAACTGAATACATTTTGGCCAAGATTTATAAAGAAAGATTATTTATTTGCAAAATGTTATAAGAAAAACACTTTTTTTCAAAATTTTTGGATATTTTCATTTATATAGCAAAAAAAAAAAATAAAAATCCCATTGGTGAACAAATACCACCAAAATTAAAGCTTTATCTGTCTCAAAAAAAATGCTAATTAATATGGGTACAGTGTTGCATGGCCGCGCAATTGTCATTCAAAGTGTGATAGCGCTGAAAGCTGAAAATTGGCCTGGACACGAAGGGGGTAAAAGTGTCCGGACTTGAAGTGGTTAATTGACTTTGAAAGTGGCATGGTTGTTGGTGATAGATGGACTGGTCTGAGTATTTCAAAAACTGCTAGTCTACTGGAATTTTCACACACAACCATCTCGAGGGTTTACAGAGAATGGTCCAAAAAAGAGAAAATATCCAGTGAGTGGCAGTTGTGTGGCCAAAAATGCCTTGTTGATGTCAGAGGTCAGAGGAGAAAGGATAGACTGTTTCAGGATGATAGAAGGCAACAGTAACTCAAATAATCCTTCCTTACAACCAAAGTATGAAGAATATCATCTCTGAAAGCACAACATATCAAACCTTGAAGCAATTGGGATACAACACCAGAAGACCACACCGGGTACCACTCATGTCAGCTTAGAACAGGAAACGGAGGCTACAATTTGCACAGGCTCACCAAAAATTGGACAACAGAAGATTGCAAAAACGTTGCTTGGTCTGATGAGTCGATTTCAGCTGCGACATTCAGATGGTAGGGTCAGAATTGTAAATAGCATGAAGGCATGGATCCATCCTGCGTTGTAGCAACGGTTCAGGCTGCTGCTGTAATGGCACACTTTGGGCCCCTTAGTACAAATTGAGCATTGTTTAAATGCCACGGCCTAACTGAGTATTGTCCATCCCTTTCTGTCTACAATGTACTCATCTTCTGATGGCTACTTCCAGCAGGATAATGCACCATGTCACAAAGCTCAAATCATCTCAGAATGGTTTCTTTAACATGATAATGAGTTCACTGTACTCCAATGGCTTCCACAGTCACCAGATCTAAATCCAAAAGAGCACCTTTGGGGTGTGGTGGAATGGTAAATTCACATCATGGATGTGCAGACGACAAATCTGCAACAACTGTGTGATGCTAGCATGTCAATATGGACCAAAATCTCTGAGGAATGGAGGAACCTTGTTGAATCTATGCCATGAAGAATTAAGGCAGTTGTGAAAACAAAAGAGGGTCCAACCCGATACTAGCAAAGTGTACCTAATAAAGTGGCTGGTGAATATAATTGTATCTAGAAGTAGCCTTTAGCTGATCCAAGACCCTCCCAAAATGCAAGGCTTTCTAACATAAAAGGTTTAAAATGATACTAAAGAGTGAAGTGTTAATTGCCATAATTAATGCACATAAATCATATATATCATTCCACTGTATTTTTTTTAATCCTCTACATTTCTTATTCCTGCAGTGCTGTGTGGTTACATGATCTTTCCGTATTCTTTGGCATCTACAGGGAAAGATCCTTGACAGGGGCTTCTATTACTTGGCTGATGTATGCTGTCTACAGTGTGAGTCTGTGTCTGGCCAGCCCTGATTGGTGTTGTGCTGGTCACATGACTATAAAAAGTTTCAAAAGAGCAATTCAAATTAAATTATAAATATAAAAAAATAAATTTACAGCTCCCTATAAATCTTTATTGAATATCAGATGTGTATTTTACAGTTGAGTTCAAAATAATAGCAGTCAGACATCACTAACCTGATCAATCACTGTTTTTGGTAGAAATTATATTTCTGCATGACAAATAATTTACTAGCAGGTGTAGCAGAGTAATAGAAATCCAACAGACCCAACAGTCATGGCATGCATGCTGCTGATTCTGTGTAATTGGATCACTAATTGAAAGGGGCATGTTCAAAATAATAGCAGTGTGGAGTGAGGGCATTAATTCTTAGAAAAACAGGTGGCAATTATTGCCCTTATTTAAGGAAGGAAGGCAGCAAATGTTGTACATGCTGGTTACAGTGCATTTCTCTCTGAAATTCTGAGGAAAATGGGTTGTTCCAGACATTGTTCAGAAGAACAGCGTATCTTGATTAAAAAGTTGATTGGAGAGGGGAAAACATATAAAGAAGTGCAGAAAATGATAGGCAGCTCAGCTAAAATGATCGCAAATACTTTAAAATGGCAACCAAAACCTGAAAGACGTGGAAGAAAGCGAAAAACTACCATTCAAATGGATAGAAGAATAGCCAAAATGGAAAGGACTCAGCCAAAAATCAGCTCCAGGAACATCAAAGAAGGTCTAAAGTTACCTGTGAGTGCTGTTACAATTAGAAGACGCCTATGTGAAGCCAAGCTATCTGCAAGAAGCCCCCGCAAAGTCCCACTGTTGAAAAAAAGACGTGCTGAAGAGGTTACAATTTGCCAAAGAGCACATTGACTGGCCTAAAGAGAAATGGCGCAACAGTTTGTGGACTGATGAAAGTAAGATTGTTTTTTTTGGGTCTAGTAGCTGGAGACAGTTTGTCAGACGACCCCCAAACACTGAATTCAAGCCACAGTACACTGTGAAGACAGTGAAGCATGGTTGCGCAAGCATCATGATATGGGGATGTTTTCTCATACTACGGTGTTGGGCCTGTTTATCACATACCAGGGATCATGGATCAGTTTGAATACATCAGAATACTTGAAGAGGTCATGCTGCCTTATGCTGAAGAGGAAATGCCCTTGAAATGGGTGTTCCAACAAGACAACGACCCCAAACACACCAGTAAACGTGCAACATCTTGGTTCCAGACCAACAAGATTGACGTTATGGAGTGGCCAGCCCAATCCCCGGATCTTAATCCAAAGAAAACTTGTGGGGTGACATCAAAAATGCAGTTTCTGAGGCAAAACCAAGAAATAGAGAAGAACTGTGTTATGTAGTCCAATCATCCTGGGCTGGAATACCTGTTCACAGGTGCCAGAAGTTGGTTGACTCCATGCAACACAGATGTATAGCAGTTCTCAA